CTTAATGACGTGGTGGGTTTCGACGAATTCGTCCGAGGTAATACCGATTTTTCATACCATCCCAACAGATTTTTTCCAACATCATTTCCTCTTTTGCTACTTTTTCGTAAAAAATCACGGGAATATAAATCTTTTCAGGCACATCCCTGATGTAAATAAATCAGATGTTTACATCCTGAACAGCGCTGTCTCGTCACAAATAGTCAAAACAATAGCTGATGAGGAAGGTGGGCAAATTATTTTTTGATATTATTAGACTTTTTCCTGTACTATTTTTAATATTGTCTATTTTAAGGATTCAAAAGTGATGTAACGTTGACTGGTTTCAAATGGATGGGCAACAAGGCGGACGAACTGCGAAAGCAGGGCAAACATGTGATTCTATCCTGGGAAGAAAGCATTGGATTTATGCCTGGACATCCATTGGACAAGGTGACGCTGCAATCTCGCCTTTATCAATATTTCCGGGCGAAACGGAGACATTATGGGGCTCCCCAACGCAAGTGGGACGAATTGGCTAGGGGACTACAGATACAGAAAGAGGGGTATCACAGTGACTTTGCAAACCTACCACTTTCAAGTGGATGAATGGCTCACCTAGCTCAATGACCCACCCAGCTTTGCCACCACATATCGAAAATTTTGGCAAACACGACCCCTCCCCCCTCCTCCTCTCCCATGAACATACGACCTACGCCTTTCCCGACCAGGGTAAACCGTCCGTTGGTACAAGTTCCAACAAGGGGGAGGGGGTGGCGTATTTGCGATTTTGAAAAAAGGGGTCGTCGTTCCATGCGACCTGCTTACCCTTCCCTTACCCCTCTAGATGGCCATTTTAGGGCAAAGTTGCAAAGGAGTTGGAGCGCATCGACTGGCCATAGAACTAATACTATAGAAGCTGAAATAGTCATGATGGTGAGGGAGGTGTATCTTATTGGCGAGCCCCCAAGGGGAAGGGGCCGTAGGAATTTTGAAAAACTACCAACGCTAGGGTTGACTGCTGGCCTACCTCCTCTAACTACACTACTGCTGGCTGCCCCCTCTAACTTCCAGTGAGTGAATTGGTGGCATCAATGTTTCGTGGATCCTGGTATTGGGGTCCAAAAAAAGGTGGTGGAACTGCGAATTTTGCGCCCGGTTAGCTTTCTTTTCTGTCAATCCACAACTACAGGGCCCATCTACAAAGCGTAAGAAATCACCTCCCACAAAAGCAGTATGGGGTCCTGTGGTCCCTTAAC